CTGCTGAAAGCAGGTATCTGGTTTGTTTGGGTTCTATAATCGAAACACTGTTTCAACTCCAGCTCTGAGATCCCGGTTGGCTGAAAGCAGGTTTCTGGGGTTTTATTTAGCTTCTATATTTGTAACAATGTTTCAAACTGCAAGCTCAGAGGCTGGCAAGGCAGGCGGGGAACATTAGCTTCCTCTGTCACTGAAGCAAGCAAGCCTCATGTTCGCTTCAAGCTGCCTGGCTGCTGGCCGCCATCTTGGCTGGCAGTTAATTTGCATATCACCCTGATTAGCCAATGGGAAGGGTAGTGGAGGTACGGCTAATTACCATGTTTCTTTTATTAGATAGGATATTTTGGGAAATGCAAATTAGAAATGAGTTAATTAGCCACAAACTTCATTTACCCTCAATCATTAGTCCATAATATTTATGGATTAAAACATATCTTCTATGTATGGGGTAAAACATAACATCCCTTCTCCCTTCAAAATGTTTTTACATCTTTTCTAAAAACCCATACAGAGAAGGCCCAGGGCGTTTTAATTCCTATCAAGGCATTCCTTTTTCTTTATGAAATACTTATCAACATATTTTTTTAAAAAAAGTAAAATAAGCCCTGCCAGCATGGCTTACAGCGTCGACCTATGAACCAGGAGGTCACGGTTTGATTCCTGGTCAGGGCACGTGCCCAGGTTGCAGGCTCGACCCCCAGTGTGGGGCAAGCAGGAGGTGGCCAATCAATGATTTTCTCTCATCACTGATGTTTCTCTCTCTCTCTCTCTCTCTCTTCCTTCCCCTGCCCCCCTCCCTCCCCCCCTTTCTCTCTGAAATCAATAAAAACACATTTTTTAAAAAGTTATGCATCAATCTTCTCCCCCTAATTCAAATAAATCAGTAGGAGCAAGCAGCAATACTGACATCACAGAGGGGACATTCACAGTCAAGTGTTTGCTTGGATAAACACAGTTAAAGAAAATAATATGGAATAGGCCCAATTGATCCAATAAAGCAGAGATTCCTTCAGAATTTTCCAAATCTGTTGAGCAGATATTAGGGTACTTTTCAATGGGCATTAGATAAAATAAGGATCCTTCTCATGTTACATAACCAAAATGAATTCTCCCATTTGATAATGCTTGACTACAGATTTCATGGGAGAGGGGATAGAAATCATTACTGCCACATAAAGTAAAATTTGGGATAGAAAAATCCCTACAGGGTGATATTAAGCTAACAATCTTTTATTTTCTAAAAGTCAAAACACATTAAAATCACTTAACACTCACAGTTGTTCCTTCTGGGCCTTTGTCAGTGTCAAACACACAGGCATCAAAACATACATACAGATAAAAATGTTACTCAGAGAGCAAACTACAAAGCTGAGGCAGCATAACCAGGTTCAAAGTTCATGCCATTTTCATTTCCAGACAGAAGCCTAACTGCTCCTAGGTTATAAATACCTGAATGTTGTCATTCTGAAAAGCAAAAGTCCAGTAACACGTGAAGGACTTTTAATTCTTACAATAAACCATGAATAAAGTTCTAAAGCAGTGGTTCTCAACCTTTCTAATGCCGCGACCCTTTAATACAGTTCCTCATGTTGTGGTGACCCCCAACCATAAAATTATTTTTGTTGCTACTTCTTAACTGTAATTTTGCTACTGTTATGAATCGTAATGTAAATATCTGATATGCAGGATGTATTTAGGTGATCCCTGTGAAAGGGTCATTGGACCCCCAAAGGGCTCGTGACCCACAGGTTGAGAACCACTGGTCTAGCGACACAGGAGGTTCTATGAAGTAACTAAATTAAATTGGAAAAATAATGCAATTTCCTTAAGGATTATTGCGCACAGAGGTAGCTTTTATATCAACAGTGCAAAAAACCCATGATTCCTCTCACATCTAGTCTATTAGCTATGTCTGCTCTAAAAAGGAGGTTAACTAGAGATTCTATATTGCAGATGATATATTTCTTAGTAAACTAGAACATTACATGTCCTTTCTATGACTGCAAATCTTGTGTGAATTTTGGGACACTCTATATTTCTAGTAGATCTCAATTACGCCAATTTTCTATTAGGAAGGTAGGGACTGAAACTCAGCCATTGGCTCCCCCCCAAAAAATAAATAAATCACTATTTGCATAGGGATAGGGAGGAAGCCTTCCAACTCAGCAGAGTTCTGGAATTCATTTCCTTATACCAGAGAAACAATCACCATTAAAAAGTATGGGGGCCCTGGCCAGTGTGGCTCAGTTGGTTGAACAATGCCTGTGCACCTAAAGATCCCTGGTTTGTCCCAGGTTGGGGTGTGTATCGGAGGCAACCGATGGATGCTTCTCTCACACTGACGTTTCTCTCTCTCTCCCTCTCCCTTCCTCTAAAATCAATAAAAAAATATTTTAAAAATTAAGTTTCTCTTTAAAAAACAAACAAACAACTATGGGGGAGGCAACAGAACACAGAAGTCACAAATTCTTAATTATGATCATGCCTATCATTTAGCAATTGGTCTAACGACCAACTATTACATTTTCCAGTGCATTAAAAAAATTATCATTTTGTCACTGACCAAAATAAGTGGGGGTGGGGGCATGGAATTCAAACATTATTTATCTGCTATGAAAATGTTAGTTTCCTAAGAAATCAGACAAGTAACTAGCTTTTTTGCTTGTAGCCAAGGGACAGGTTAAAAGCAGGTCATCAGTGCACAAGGAGCCTACTTACTGCATATAACCTAAACATTTCTTACCTTTTGAGAATAAAACTCTCCACTGCCAAGGTGAAAAAAGGAACCAAAGGACACATTTAAAAAATTAAACATGCATTCCGTAAGTATACTTTATTGATGGCAAATATACATTATCTTCTCTAGACTGAGAATTTCCTACAATCTCTTGTGATCTGTGTATTTGGTTTAAAAAAAACCCACACAAAGCAACAGCTACCATTCTATTTCTGACAGGAGCCTAATAGAGCTGCCAATAGTTCCCCATAAATTACAAAATATCCGGAACTAACATAAGCATAGAATGCTACCAAGAATTGTTTCTTATCAGATAGATTATGTAAACAGCATTAGATATCTAGCTACCATCTAGCTAGACTGTTAACTTCAAAAAAAGCTGCGTTTTAAAAGTTTGGTATCTTGCTAAGTACTGGTAAAGGGGTGGGAGAGGATCATTAACAGCTAGAGTGCCGGGGAGCGGGGAGCGCAATCGAGCTCCTCCTGTCTTTAGCCAAAAGTGCCGGGAGCGCTATTGCGTTCCAGCAGTGTCACTATTAGATGCTAGTAATTCACTCATGTGGGAAAAAAAATTTAAAAACCTTAACTCAAAATGCCTTGGCAATTTTAGCATAGTTCCTAGGATATTGGTTGGCACTCAAAGGGTTAAAGACATATTTAACTGCTATTGGCCCAATGCAAATTTCAGCCCAAAGGGATCCTATGCCAAATTAGATTTGCATTTCCCTTACAGCTAGTTACACTGAGCATCTTTTCAGATACCTGTTGGTCATCTGTATGTCTTCTTGGGAAAAGTGTCTGTTCAGGTCCTCTGCCCATTTTTAGATGGGCTTTTGTTGGTTCTTGTTGAGTTATATGAGTTCTTTATATATTTTGGACATTAGCCAGTTATTGGAGGTATCGTCTGTAATATGTTCTATTAGGTTGGATGCCTTTTTGTTTTGTTGATGGTTTCCTTTGCTGCGCAGAAGCTTTTTAGTTTGATGTAGTCCCATTTCTTTATTTTTGCTTTTATTTCCCTTGCCTTTGAGGTCAAGGTTCATAAATTTAGTATGTTTTCTGAAAGTGATTAATTCTTAAGTAGTGATTCAACTTACAAGGCCAATCAAATTATATAGACACAAACTACAAATAAATGCTATTATCATTCTCTCTGGCTTTGACAAAAATTTCAGGTACCTTACTGCTTGGGTTAGCACAGCACAGACTCCAAAACCTATATCACATCAAATTAAAAAAATATATATGTGTACAATGGGAAAAACATTCTCAGGTGGGGATTAGCCAAATATATATATATATATAAATAATACTATCACTTTGTTAATCACGTTTACATGCCACACAAGAAAAAACAGCTGAAAAAGCCTTTACCTTAATAAATCATGTCAGTCTAGGTACAGAGGAACAC